GCGATTCTGAATAAAATTTCCCTTTACAAAAATGGGCTGTGAAGCTTCGTTTTTGAGTTATTAATTTTGAGACTTCACAATGTTATCGTAAGTGAAGTTAGGTTAGGTTAAGTTGTGTTAAGCTGTTCAGGTAGAATAACATTTCTGGGACATCACAATGCTATTGCAAGTGAAGTTGGGTTAGGTTAAGTTATGTTAAGCTGTTCAGGTAGAATAACATTTTTGGGACACGACAATGTTATTGCAAGTGAAGTTAGGTTAGGTTAAGTTGTGTTAAGCTGTTCAGGTAGAATAACATTTTTGGGACATCACAATGCTATTGTAAGTGAAGTTGGGTTAGGTTAAGTTATGTTAAGCTGTTCAGGTTGAATAACATTTTTGGGACATCACAATGTTATTCCAAATGAAGTTAGGTTAGGTTAAGTTGTGTTAAGCTGTTCAGGTAGAATAACATTTTTGGGACACGACAATGTTATTGCAAGTGAAGTTGGGTTAGGTTAAGTTATGTTAAGCTGTTCGAGTAGAATAACATTTTTGGGACATCACAATGTTATTCCAAATGAAGTTAGGTTAGATTAAATTATGTTAAGCTGTTCGAGTAGAATAACATTTTTGGGACATCACAATGTTATTCCAAATGAAGTTAAGTTAGGTTAAGTTATGTTAAGCTGTTCAAGTAGAATAACATTTTTAGGACATCACAATGTTATTGCAAGTGAGGTTAGGTTAGATTAAATTATGTTAAGCTGTTCAAGTAGAATAACATTTTTGGGACATCACAATGTTATTGCAAGTGAAGTTAGGTTAGATTAAATTATGTTAAGCTGTTCAAGTAGAATAACATTTTTGGAGCACCACAATGTTATTGCAAGTGAAGTTAGGTTAGTTTAAACGAGGTTAAGTTATTCAAGTTTAGGTTGAATTTCAACATGAAGAAGCAGGTTCTTATTTTATAAGAACAAACTTCTGTTCTATAAATTTAAACGTCAATTTCATAGAAAAGAGAAAATGTTCCGACCCAGTAAAAAGACGTAGCAATGCTAGATAACGTAATGTAAATGATCCCTTACCAGAATGGAAACGAAGTGACTTATCTGCAAAGTTACGTTTCCTCGAGGGTTCGAGCTGACAAAAGTTGCGAACTCGTATCCGGGACCCGCAGGAGAGCATTAATTAAATTTCATTATTTTCGAAATACCAGTTCCGAATGAAAGTTTTCTAGTCGAAATAAATGACGAACGTTACATCGAACTCGTATCAGCTCGGCTATTATTTCACGAAAAACACCAACGTGCCGACACGATGCGTATCGATTCCATTCGCTTTCGAAATCGTTGTTCCCCGGTTAAACATTGTTCGTTAGCAAAATTGCTCGTTCCGTGTACATTCACATAAAAGCCGGAATTCGTAATAAATTTCCCTACCGTCGGAACCTTATAACGTTTCACTTTTCTTCGCTAAAGTGTTTCACTCGTGCCGTTTTCGAAGAGGCTTTTCTTCCGGGAAGCCTCGCGGCGCGACTCACACGAAAAAAAGCCACTTCACCGGTGCTCGATGCGCAACGTTTATGGCGTTCGTTGTTTTCTCGCGTCGCGGGCTGCGCTTAAGCCCTTAAGCCGCGAAAACGCCTGTCCAGAGCATAATTTCTGAGCGCTCCAAAAAAGACACGGTTGTCCCGGCAACGTTCAAAGTTTCCGTTCGAATTAGAGAGCTTCCTTGGTTAGTTCGTGTCCGACGCGTGTTTGTTGTTGGCACTTTCGGACAGAATGAAACGTTTCCTTTGCTTTCGATAAAGGGAGTAAACTCGTCACAACTCTCGCCCTAGTTCCATCTCCAGATTCCTTCATCTTCTCTCTTTGTTGTCCCCGCAATTTCTTCGATTTGTCCTCCATTTTCCCGAAGACAACATTGATGAATACACAAAATTAACTCCTTCAGACAATTTGCTTATTCTGGATACAGTTCATTCTGCACTGAGTTTATTCTGAAATGTCTTTGGTAAAACTTTGTTACCATTCTTCACTATTTGATCTTTGTAGAACAAATTCTTCAAATTCAAGCAGTTTTCGTATTAGGAAAAATATAAGAGCATCTTTTTGGAGCATAATTAAAATAAAGTGAAAAGCATTCGTCGTTGGAGAGCTTCAAGGACTTTTTTAAAAAAGTTTCCTTGTGGCCATCATGACAAAACGCACATGGTCCGTGGCTTACATTTACACAAACTTCAGTTAAACTTCCGGAAGCGACCTCTGATTTTGCTGCAATTTGTCTGTTCTTACAGAAGAAAATCCCTGAAAGGATTTTTGACGACAAAGCCTCGTGTTTGCGAAGTTTTAACAGTTGAATATTTCCGAAAATATTTGTTTTACAGAAAAAAGTTTTAGACAAAAAATGGGGGGCATAAAAGGCTCTACAAAAAAGGTTCTACACATTTTTTACGTAAATGTGTTATTTTTGCAGTATCTGAATTATACCCTAATTATAAGGGAGAGTATTAGGGAGACCGAATTTTTAACGTAATCAAAATTTTGTTTGCTAACGAAAACATTTATTTATTAAAGAAACCTTGAATGCTGATCAACAAAATAATTTTCTAACGCCTTTTGGCAGCGTGAAGGCAATTGTTCTGTTGTTAAAAAAAAGTCCTTCGATTTTTAATAGATCAAAGAAATTTTGAATATACAGTATCCTTAATATTTCGAATTGTAAAAATTCGCAGAATTTGATTAAGATTTCGTGAACGATTCGAATTGGTATGGAGGAGGTGTCGAATGAAGGGAGTCCTTGCGCGAAGAACGCGTGGCGTATCGCGTTACTCGAGCGTGTAGTTTCGTTGTGGAAGAGAATGCTCGACTACGCCATTAACGGTCTTTGTCAGGACCACTACCCTCGCGACCTCTTTCCCTAGTAGGAATCCGCAGGAATTCGGTATAGATTGCGTCAATTAATTTTCATTCGACCGAGAAAAATATAAAGTTCGTGCTCGGAATCCCAGAGAAATTCGATTCCGATAGGAAACGTGCCCGATCCGAGTTTTAATTTTCTCTCCCTCTCGACCCGATAAACAACGTTGCTACTCTTTCGACTAAGCATCAATTAGCGCGCTCGTTAACAAATCTGAAAATAATTGTTCCCCGGTAACTGGAAAATTAACATCGGAGAGAAGGTAAATTAACAAGAACAGAAATTCGATCGGTAAGCGTTTCTCGAATAACGGCTTGTTAAAAAGATCGCGGCATTCGACGCAGAAAATTGGAAAGTGGCGTGCTGTCAAGTTGACGTCGAGGTGACGATTCGTAAACAAAAAGCTCCGGGCAAACTGTTTGCCCGCGGTTTTCCATTCAGCCGCGATGACAGCTGACGTTTCCAAACGTAATCAGACGATGCAACTTTTCTTTTGTCACGGCTCGCTGAATCGAAACTAACGAAAGGTTTTCGAGCTTGTTTCCCGGCGAACCTACGAAACAAACGCGGAAAAAAACTGATTCGCGACACAGCTTTATTTCCGGCGGCGAGTTCTTTTTTCCGCGAGCGGTGAAACGCGGGTGAACGATCGGCGAAAACCGTCGCAACGAACAAACAACGCTTGAATAAATTTGGCAAATTGAAGGAATAAGGGCAGAAGACGTGGCGTCGATACGGCGACCCGAATTCTCGCGGAGTAAAAAGAAAGGGGGAAAATCAAAAAGGCAAAGAGTCGTTGCAAATCAGGAGACCGAATGTTCGCCGACACCGCTACGCGAACCCACGGAACCGCTCCATTGTTCATGCTCGAACAATGCTGTCTTTGTCGCGATGTGATTAAGCTCTGAATAAATTTTCTATTACGTTGTTCTACACCCAGCGTTCCTCCGTTTTCAAATACCCGTTTCCATTCCCCGATTCGAATCGTTCGGTTACGAAACATCAAAACTTTTATCGAAAGGGAAAAACCGGGAGAAAGTGTCCCCAGGAAAAAGAGAGCAGTCTTCGTGACTCGAGTACCGAATCGTTCGATAATTACCGTTAAATAAAGGAGAATTTCGCGCTTCGACGACCGCGTTACCGTATCGATTACGCGTTTACAAATTGTTCGAACGCGCATGGACTTCGTAATAATTAAGAAGCGGAACTTTTCAGAAGTTGCCGCGAAAAACATTTAATCTTGGAATTATAGTTACGTTGAAATTTTCAGCTCGGCGGAATCCGGTATTAGTTCTTCCGTGCAGGATATCTTACATATGCCGCGAGGAATTCAGGATCCTGTTCCTCGTATCCGCACATACCGCGCCAGTCCGCAAGCTGTGCTTTGTAATTTCATCCCCTCGTTCGCGCGTCTCTCTCGAAATATAATTTTCAAAATCTCCTCCTTTAAACGACTGTAAATCGTGAAACGATACGAACGAAAAACCGACGCCGCGAACGGAACAAAAGCTTTCCGTTAACGGTAATTAATTATTAAGCTCATCATTTCACGGTGGTACAATGTACGTTTCGAGTTACCACGCTCTTCTCGTGGAGTGCTCGGGCAGAACCATTCCACCGGTATAAAGGTATAAAGGTATACTTAACCGCATCCACGTACCGCACCTTCTGAATAATACAATTCGTGCTTTACAGCACGGTACAGCGCAACATTACGTACTTTTACCTTTCTGAAGAGACGCGAAGGTAAATACAACGGCGGAGTCCTAGCCGCGTACGCGAAACCTTGAATCGAGGTTACAGTCGAGGTCGAGATCGGTCGATTAATGATACTCCCTTGAAACGTATGTTTGCAACTTTTTTTTCTGTTCCAGTTGCTCCGACGTTAATTTTAGCGCGTCTCGTTAAAAGCGCGACTTCTGACTATGGCCAAACGCGATCGAAAGGTCACGTAGACGTGCGAATCGGGAGGGTAAACAAAATAGAAAAATGGCAAGACTGTTTCTGTTGAAAGTTGATCAAGTTTTGGTCGAAGACTTGTTAAAAGTTTTAATTAAGAAAGAAAAACTCGTAGCAGTAAAAAAGGAAGAACGTACCTGACATGTAATCCTTTGTTACTGTTTCTTCCCTCCGGAGGCATTTATCTGCATTATCTTCCCGGCGGACTTCTCGTAGCGAAAACGTCTGATAAACTGGTTGCCACCCCCATCACGAACTAGCTACCGATCCTCGCGATAGCATCCACTATACACTGTACACTTTCTCCGCGAGGGAAAAGAAATCCCCGTTAGCGTGCTCGCACGGGACGTTTATCACCGATTCGCGGTAAGCGAGCGGATGAAATTTCGTGCAGAACAAGCTTAAAGAAGAAGGCGGCTTAGGAAGGGAAAAAAAGCGAAAGACGGGGACCACCGGTCAGTGACGGCGGTCGATAGGTGGTGACTTTCCACGTCGTCTGTTACGGCACGTTCGTGGACAGCGGCTCAAAAGAGTCGATCGTGATGAATCGAGGCGTAAAAATGGAAAAGAAGGAAAGGATAGGCGGAGCAGCAGAGACGAAAAACCGAACGTTTCGCGGCGGTGGAGGATGAAACGCGACCACCAGTCACGTTCGCCGGATGCAGCGCGAATGGAGGGTTGGTCTTGCGCGGCAGCGCGCTCGCGCGGTCATCCGGTAAACTGACAGGCCACCCCTGAAAGACCTCCGAACTGCCAGCCTCCCCATACCGCCCTTCTAGGGCTGCGCGCGCGACCGAATTTGCTCTCTTGCCCTGCTGCTGTTGCCGCTGCTTCAGCCTCTGCTATCTCCGGCGCCGCCGATGCGCTCTACTTCCCGATGCCCATTCGATACTCTACCCAAAGAACTTTCCCACGGGAACCTGCTACTTTTCTCGCGAATTTACTCTTTCGTCTCCTATGTGTTCGAATGACCGTTTGACCCCGTGAATCGTCTCGGAAATGACGTATCCTAGGAGAGCAACACCCCGTCGGAAGCTATTCACCATGACCTAGCGCACCGGCTAAAAGGTCTTCCGCTTAGCTCCGTAATTCTTCTCGGCAACTTTGGTCGTTTGCGAGAAAACGACTTTTTTAGTAGATTTTCAAAATTGTTTGCCCACTGATGAACTCGAGCCGGAAGTTTCTAAAGCTTCCTCGGAGAGGGGTTGAATTACTTTCCTGGATTCTTGCGATTCCCTGCGAAACTTGTAACGGGGAATTACTTTTTTATGTTTTCGTAGTAAAGTACACGGAATAGGGCTCCAGTAATATTATCTACCGTAAATGGACGTAATCTCACCGCTAATGACTGAGAATTAAGTGAAACGTTTCAAATTTTCTTTAACCGCTGATGAAGTGCTTATATTCTCTTTCTTTGGTAAAATTAATATTTCGATCCTTCGAGATTCCCGCGTTACTTTTTCTGTTCTATAATTAAATTCCGGTGATTGCGAGCTGAGTTTACATTCTTAATTGAAATTTGCGTGGGATGCGAGGACGTATTTCTGAGGTAATTGACTTAACGAACTAAAAACGTTGTCCGAGGGTCGTTTTACAGAGTTTGTTAATTTTGTATTGTTGCGCGTTAAAATCGGAGCTGCCAGCGTCATCTCGTGACGACTGGCAGAGGCAGCCTTCGAAAATTATTTTTCTCGTAAAATAAACAAATTTACGTCTAATAAATTCACGTCTGCTCAACGCGTCATTAAAAGCTTTGATTAATAAAATTTATAGCAGTCGATTTTGTGCATGAACGAAAGTTCCGTGCAGTAAACGAGCGTTCACCGATCGAGCGTGCATTAATCAAGCATATATTATAAATCCACAATTCATTTCAACGTGTAAAATAAAAACGATGCAATCAAAGAAAGGTTGTTTTGAAACTTTTTATTTCTTTCTGTTTCATTTCTGATTGAAGGAACCTTGTTATTTAGACTGCAACCGCCGTCTAGCGATGAAGCAGTGAACTACCATGCTGAGCACATTTGATTCAATTTTAATTTGCATTGACTCGTAAACAAGTACATTGTGTAACAAAAACATTGTTTTATCGAATGAATTCATTGAGATAGAGTTAGTGTAAATACCTGATAATTGGTGACAACTTCCAGTGACAAAAACATGAAAGTAACTCAAGGAACAGACAAAAGTCCAAGTTGCTGACCTTACGAATTTTTTAGTATTTATGTATACGTTGGAGAGTACTAGTAACAAAGTAAACGACTTATTTTATAAACTTGCCTCTAGGGAGAATGAAGGTCTGAATTAAACGTCATGTCTCGAACGAAGAGATCTTGTTTCATACGGTTACATTGAATAATTGTTAAATGTTCTAATCCCCGTTTTTATTCAAGAAAAGTGATGTGTAAAAAATTTCATACAATATTGACGCAAGAAAAAATCAAGCTATCTGAACTAAACTTTGCATACGTTTTCAAAGACCTCTAAAGATCTACAAGATCATTTCTCATTTTTCTAACAGAGAGTCATAAGCATAGATGACATTTGAGTATGCAAAGAAATGCGTCCTTCTGCTTCATCGCATCGGTAAATATTTTGCAATTACCTGCACGGGCCACTGACGCAATATTCGACGCCCTACTTTTGTTAATGCAGCAACTTCGGTATGACCCGCAGATTTTCGATCTTCACTTCGAAACTTTGTACACTTGATTTAAAAATAACTTTATTCAATAACCATATAAATCTGTAAAGAATTACACAAATTTGTAAAGAGTCATAAATTTGCATGGTATGATAAGTGTGACGACAGATTACAATTTGCTAATAGTGCGTTAATCGGTTTAGTATTGTTTCGTTAATGAACACCCATTGTCACTTCGACTACGCCTTTCACTTCGATATTCGTGCATCGCAAGAATATACTTCCCGACACAGATACATATGCTTAACTTCATTAATTTTTCTGCTATCAAGGATGATGATGCAGTTTTCACGGTCGCTAACGACTCTCCAGGCGGAGGAGATAAAAACCGAGTAACAAGGAAATCTCGAGCTATTTCTGTTCTAAAACATTCTTCATATGGTTTGATTAAAACATTTCTCATGTATGATTTGACTGAAACATTCTACATATGATCTGACTAAAACATTCCTTATGTATGATCTGACTAAAACATTCTTCATATGTGATCTTATTAAAACATTCTTCATATGTGATCTGATTAAAACATTCTTCATGTGTGATCTGATTAAAACATTCCTCATATGTGATTTGACTAAAACATTACTCATATGTGATTTGACTAAAACATTCCTCATATATGATCTGACTAAAACATTCTTCATATGTGATCTTATTAAAACATTCTTCATATGTGATCTGATTAAAACATTCTTCATGTGTGATCTGATTAAAACATTCCTCATATGTGATTTGACTAAAACATTTCTCATATGTGATCTGACTAAAACATTCTTCATATGTGATTTGACTAAAACATTCCTCATATGTGATCTAACTAAAACATTCCTCATATGTGATCTGCCTAAAACATTCTTCATATATGATCTGACTGAAACATTCTTCATATGTGATTTGACTAAAACATTCTTCATATGTGATCTGACTAAAACATTCTTCATATATGATCTGACTGAAACATTCTTCATATGTGATTTGACTAAAACATTCCTCATATGTGATCTAACTAAAACATTCCTCATATGTGATCTGCCTAAAACATTCTTCATATATGATCTGACTACTAAAACATTCCACATATGTGATCTAACTAAAACATTCCTCATATGTGATCTGCCTAAAACATTCTTCATATATGATCTGACTAAACATTCAAAGAGTTCATTAACTAAAACACCCGTCATTGACATTGACACTGAATCTACGATAAAAATTCGTGAACCCATAAAACTTTCATCGACGCCTATCGATCGCATAATTGATATTCGCCTCCAGGCTTCATTCGGCTGCGTCACAACCTTGGCCGTATCAAGAATTCCAGGTGCCTCTATCGCCACCGATCGCGTCGATCTCGAATCACAGAGGCCACAGACGATGGGAGGCGGCTCCCGCAAGCGTTTGGTCAGATTCGAGTCAGAAGCCGCCAAGTGAATCCGCGACATGTGATTTTTCGCGTCGAGTTATCTTTTGCATTTTTCACTCGTTTCTTTCAAGTGGAATCATGCTGAGATCTCTAACGACGATTCTGTTGGTGTCTCAGGTGCAGTGCATTTTCACTCCCGCGATCCTAGACACGATATACCAGTTCGTTTCCCCGTTCTGGACGGCGTCCTACGACCTGGTGTCCGACGAGACCCCGGACAAGGAGTACGATTTTATCGTGATAGGAGCCGGCTCCGCGGGCTCCGTGCTGACGAACCGACTAACGGAGAACTCGGAATGGAAGGTGCTGTTACTGGAAGAGGGCAAGGACGAGATTTTTCTCACGGACATACCCTTGCTGGCTCCCATACTGCACATCACCGATTACGTCCGATTATACAAGAGCGAACCGAAGAAAGACGGTTATTGTTTGTCAATGAATGACGGTCGTTGCAACATGGCGGCGGGCAAAGCGGTCGGAGGCACCTCGGTGGTGAACTTCATGATCTATTCCAGGGGATCGCCCAGCGACTACGACGGCTGGGTCGCGCAGGGCAATCCAGGGTGGAGCTATCGCGACGTGCTGCCCTACTTCAAGAAGTCCGAGAACTGTCTACTGGATCTGGATGCTAGGTAAACAGTTTTGTTCAAAATTGACGATGTGAGCTAACCGAGAAAGCAACTCTTAATACTGTCAGATTTCATGGTCACGGAGGATATCTGGACGTCACCACCGCCCCGTACAGCTCTCCTCTGAGAGAATGCTTTCTCCGAGCGGGCGAAGAGCTGGGATATGACGTAACCGATTACAACTCGGGCCAGCCGATCGGCTTCTCGACCGTGCAGGTCCACCAACGAAACGGTCACAGGTTCAGTGCCAACAAGGCTTTCTTACGACCCATTCGCGACCGCCCGAATTTCCATCTGTCGAAACTGTCCAGAGCTACGAGGATCGTGATCGACAGGGAAACGAAGACCGCCGTGGGTGTTGAGTTTATTAAAAATAACAGAAGATGGTTCGTCGCTGCGAGGAAAGAAGTCGTTCTCTCGGCAGGTGATGCGCCTCTAATCAAGATGATTATACGTCATTTCGAATGTATGAATACGTTCATGTTTATTCAGGCACGCTGCAGTCGCCGCAGCTGTTGATGCTCTCCGGAATAGGGCCCCAGGCGCATTTGAAGTCCGTGGGCATCGAGGCGATCGAGGATCTTCCGGTCGGATACAATCTTCAAGATCACGTCAGCATGTCGGCGTTGACGTTCCTCGTGAACGAGAGCGTCACCATCGTGGAGCCGCGCTTGGCTTCCAATTTGGCGAACACCTTCGATTACTTCGTGAAAGGAACGGGACCTCTGACGGTGCCCGGTGGCGCCGAATGTGTCGCCTTCATGGATACCACACGGGATCCAAAGGTTAGACGGAAGCGGACTTGGAAAAGGCGACAAGAAGGTGCGTTTGTCGAATTAACACTTTAATGTTGGACATGATTGTTGGACCTGTTAGTGTCCACATGTGAGGCTACTGGTTTTTGGCCTACACTCTTTGTGTGTTGATCGATTAGATACTCTCATAATTAACGCGGAGGAAAAATATTAAATTGGCTGTCACGACGTTTGCTTAAATGTCACTGTAGTTTTCGTTTGGATTTAAAGTTCCTTTAAATTAGAAACTTCTAAAACATTGCTCCTGATGACATTTGACTATGTAAACGAGCGGCCATGAATTAAATCCGTTGTTTTCATCCGTTCTTCTATGTCGAAATATTCCGTGACTTAGCACAAAGTTTCCTTAAATTAATTCTTCGAAGACATTGCCCCCGGCGACGTTTGACTGTGTAATCATAAAATGATGTCCGTCACATATGAAGCAACTATCGTTGACTGTATCATCTGTCCTTCCAGCGCCAAATATCACATCCATAGTACTTCCGGATTATTTGAACAACTCGAAAGGGAGTGCACCCGATATCGAGTTGGTTCTGGGAATAAGCGCCCTAACTGGAGATATATCGGGCAGTTACAGAGGACTCCTCGGTCTGACAGATGAATTCTACAAAGAGGTGTTCGGTGCTTACGAAGGATTCGACGCCTTCTCCGTTGTCCCCATACTTTTACAACCGAAAAGTAGGGGAAGAATCACCTTGAGATCTTCCGACCCACTCGACCAGCCTAGCTTCGAGATAAATTACTACGATCACGAGGACGACCTCAGAACCATGGTTCGAGGCATTAAACAGGTATTTTCGAATGTACACAGTCTATTTTTTGGTCCATGACACCTTGAACTGTTTGGACTTGGGACGCACTTGAGACGCACATTATGTCATCGATTTTATTCGAATTAATAAGCTTTGGGAGTTCTAGTCTAATTGCATAATGATTGATACTAAATTAAGTAAACTTTTGCTTATCTGTTTTAACTTCACTGCCTTGTCGTGACGCACTCATGACGCACTCATGACGCACACTATGTTATTAATTTATTCGAAATAATAAGCTTTAGGAGTTCTAGTCTTATAGCATAATGATTGATACTAAATTAAGTAAACTTTTGCTTATCTGTTTTAACTCCACTGCCTTGGCGTGACGCACTCATGACGCACACTGCGTCATTAATTTTATTCAAATTAATACGCCTCAGGAGTTCAAGTTCAATAGCATAACAATTGATACTAAATTGACTAAATTTTTGTTTGTCTGTTTTAACTCCACTGCCTTGGCGTGACGCACTCATGACGCACACTACGTTATTAATTTTATTCGAATTATTATGCTTTAGGAGTTCAAGTTCAATAGCATAACAGTTGATACTAAATTGACTAAATTTTTGTTTGTCTGTTTGAACCTTATTGTCCTGTCGTGACTCACTCATGACGCACTCATGACGCACACCACGTCATAAATTTTACTTGAATTAATACATTTCAGGGGTTCAAGTCTAATAGCACAACGATTGCTACTAAATTGACACAATATTTTCTTTGTATGTTTTAACCCCCTGTCCTATCGTGACGCACTCATGACGCACTCATGACGCACACCACGTCATAAATTTTACTCGAATCAATACATTCCAGGGGTTCAAATCTAATAGCACAACGATTGATACTAAATTGACACAATATATTTTTGTACGTTTTAACCCCATGCTCTATCGTGACGCACTCGTGACGCACATGTGCAATCTGATAAGACTCCTACTTTCACAGCAACTGAATTCTTGACTGAATTTTAATTCTGACCTCTATTATGATCATCAAGGAACACGTCATCAAGGTGCTTAACACATTAACTTTCTCTAACATTATACCAACAATTAGCTAATCGTGAAGCAACTGTCTTGACACCCGTCCAAAGTCCGCCAACTAAATGAACAAACAGTCCAACCAAATGAAGTAATCGTTGCAGGCTCTACGAGTCGTATCTACCAAAGCCTTCAAACGATACAACGCGACCCTGCTGCCAGTAGCCTTCCCAGGATGCAAGGATGTTCCGTTCGCCAGCGATCCCTATTGGGCCTGCGTTGCCCGCCACGTGTCCACGACCCTGGGTCACTTCGCTGGCACGTGCAAGATGGCTCCCAGGGAGAAGTCGGGCGTGGTGGACCACAGGTTACGAGTGCACGGGATCAATGGTCTGAGGGTCGTCGACGCTAGCGTAATGCCGACCATAGTAACCGGTCACACGAACGCGCCTGTTTATATGATCGCTGAAAAGGCTGCGGATTTGATTAAGGAGGACTGGAGACTTCTTTCACGCAACTCGTTTTTTTAGTGTACAGTGTGGATGTTTGTAGAATATAAGTGTTGATACTTGATAGATGTTCGTAGGCGACAAGTGTAGTTATGCGATAGATGTTTTTAGAATATAAGTGTTCATATCTGATAGATGTTCCAAGACAACAAGTGTAGTTATTTGATAGATGTTTTTAGAATATAAGTGTTCATATTTGATAGATGTTGCAAGGCAACAAGTGTAGTTATTTGATAGATGTTTGTAGAATATAAGTGTGTAGATATTTGGTACATGTTCGTTGAATGTACTTGTAAGTGTATTTGATAGTTGTTCGTAGAAGATGAGTGTGTAGATATTCGATAGATGTTCGTAGAATATACTTGTAAGTGTAGATATTTGATACATGTTTGTAGACTACAAGTGTAGATATTTGATATATGTTCGTAGACTACAAGTGTAGATATTTGATACATGTTCGTAGACTACAAGTGTAGATATTTGATACATGTTCGTAGAAACAAGTGTAGATATTTGATACACGTTCGTAGACTACAAGAGTAGATATTCAAAAGTCATTCAAGAATCGTGGATGCTCGAGAGAAGACAGCTTTCAAGTCGATACGTATATTTTAGTACAAATAGTCCACTGACGCGGCAGGTTACAAATGAACATAATAAATATGGACTAAGTCTGATCTAAGAGTGGATCTTTGGTAGCGCGTGAAACGTATTTACAACGGATCCTTCTTAAATAAATACGTAATGAAGCGTGATTTAACCTATCATAGTCCTATTTATATCACTATACTTGCAAGTGTCGCTACACTCGTCACAACAACCAGTATCCGGATCCCTTGCCAAGCCATGGAAGCCGCTGCAAATGAATGTCAACGTTAAGATCTGGAACGACAGTTCCGGGGAAACTAAAGAACAACAATGCACTACCGTTCTCACTGTAACGAATACAATCGCGCAAATTCGCCGTCATCGTGTAATCCTTGGCGCACGCACAGTAACCTACAAAAACATGCAAATCAAGCATTGCCTCTCACAATTTCTCACAATTTACCGTTCACGCAATCGACGTTCATCACTTCGTTCGAACTGGAGTCCCTGTACGTCTCCGTGACGCATTCCGTGTGCGTCAAACACCGCTGGTTCAGTCCTGGAAATAAAATTCGTTAATCGAATTCGAGGGATATTACTGGAGGTCGCTCACCGATGTCGTTCAGACAGATGGATCCGCGTTGATGCCAGTTCTCCACGCATCTGCATTTGCCATCGGCTCCGCACTTGGTGTTGTCCAGGAATAGCACGCACTGCGAGTCCTCTTGACACGGTTCGCCCACAGAGTCCGCGGCTTTCAGACACCGCTTACCGTCGCTCGACATCACGTGGTCCACTTTGCACAAGCACTTCTCGATGCATCTCGAATTCTCCGTCACGCACTCGTAGTCGTTCGAGCATTTGTCACCCAGCTCTAAAAACAAGTTTATTTGATTAAAGACTTATTTGGTTAAAGATTGATTTGGAGGCAGCTAGATTAACTGATTGATTTATTTTGTCGTTTGGCCCTCGACTGCTATAATCATTGCAGCTAGAGAGCAGTATTTACCTGCACTGGGTATGCATCCGTCATTACGCGGGTTCGGATGGTAGTTCAAAGTGCAGACACAAAACCCAGTCACGCAGTAACTGTTCTTGATGTAGCAGTTGTGATGCGACTGGCAGACCTTACCCAGACCTAAGAAACGGAAGCGTTAAACCAGCCCGTCTCGATTACAAGGATGAAACACTCACCCACGGACTCGTAACACCTCCCCTCCTCGTAGTGGGAGCCGTCGGAGCACTGGCAGATATTTTGCCGACACTCGGAATACGGCGCAAAGGTGACCTGACACTGGACGTCCACCTCGCAAGGATCCCCGATAGCGCTCGCCACTGCAAATTTCAAATTTTTCGCGTGGGAAATACGAAGGATTTTCGTGCTCGAGCGACACGCTCCAGGAGACGGGAGACCGTGAGAAAGGGACGAGGAAGATCGCGGAATCACGTTTCCGAGGTCGCCGACCGATTCTAACTCTACGATGATTAATCGGGGCCTTTCTGGAGCACGAGCTCGTTCAACGAGCTTGAGGGTGTTAACGAGAAAATTACTGCTCGGAAATTTTGGTAATCGGTCGATTCGTGTGGAGAGATAGCCTTGACACTAAAACTACCGAATGATCGCTCTACAAGTTTCTTGTTAGAGTTTTATTAAGGTATATTTCTTGATTTTCATGAAGATAACAAATAAATGTGTGTACTAATTTATGTTTCGTTTGCTTATTTATCTTTTGACTTCATTTTAAGTACACATTATAAATTATTATTATAAATTATATAATTTGTTGAACTGATTCTTCTGATATGTGCATTGACCTCCATTAAAATGAAGAATTAATGTGTACACAAATTTATGTTTTGTCATTTGCTGTTTATCTTTTAATTTCATCTTTAATTTCAAATTAAGCACACATTATAGGCCTTATTATAGATTATATAATTTATAGAACTGATTCTTCTGATATCTGCATTGACCTCCATTAAAATGAAGAATTAATGTGTACACAAATTTATGTTTTGTCATTTGCTGTTTATCTTTTAATTTCATCTTTAATTTCAAATTAAGCACACATTATACGCCTTACTATAAATTATATAATTTATAGAACTGATTCTTCTGATATCTGCATTGACCTCCATCAAAATGAAGGATGAATGTGTACACAAATTTATGTTTTATCGTTTGCTTATTTTTCTTTTAATTTCATTTTTAATTTCAAATTAACTACACATTATACGCCTTCTTATAAATTATATAATTTGTTGAACTGATTCTTCTGATATCTGCATCGACCTCCATTAAAATGAAGAATGAATGCGTACACAAAATGTTTTGTCATTTGCTATTTATCTTTTAACTTCATTTTAAGCACACATTATACGCCTTATTATAAATTATATAATTTATAGAACGGTTTCTTCTGATATCTGCATTGACCTCCATTAAAATGAAGAATTAATGTGTACACAAAATGTTTTGTCATTTGCTATTTATCTTTTAACTTCATTTTAAGTACACATTATACGTCTTCTTATAAATTATATAATTTATAGAACGGTTTCTTCTGATATCTGCATTGACCTCCATTAAAATGAAGAATTAATGTGTACACAAAATGTTTTGTCATTTGCTTATTTATCTTTTAACTTCATTTTAAGTACACATTATACGCCTTATTATAAATTATATAGTTTATAGAACGGGTTCTTCTGATATCTGCATTGACCTCCATTAAAATGAAGAATTAATGTGTACACAAAATGTTTTGTCATTTGCTTATTTATCTTTTAACTTCATTTTAAGAAAACATTATGTGCCGGTAGGTTTACTGTTAAGAACGACTATTTTTATATCGTAATCTTTTTAAAGACGAATTACCTTTGAGGCACTCCACGTGCGTGCGATTCCTGAAGACGATATAATCCTCTTTGCACAAACAGGCTTGCTGGTTCCAGCAATAAGCGTTCCTCATGCAATCGTCGTCGTATCGGCACTTTGCCAAGGTCTCTGTAAAATCCGTATTTTGCTTTGTACCTGGCGAATTTTCATTTCCTCGTTTCTAGCGTCTACCACTCTTACTAGCGTCTATTCTATCGAATCTATCGGCCTAATTCTACCTATCTAGTTTGTACGCATCGCGAATACGTACGAGGAGGCGGTGTTCGGTCGCTGCATCGAAACCACGAGGAGGGTGGATCGTTGACGTAGATGGTCGCGCAGACGGTGACAGGCACGAGGACCAACAGCCTCGAGAACCCGACCACCGTCCTCGGCGTCATCCTCGTGCGGTTCGAACGTCTTCCTCTCGGTGTTCCATCGAGAGATCGAATCCGATGCTCGTCATTCCCGAGGATCTTGCCGCTAGTCCACTGCTTTACGATCTTCAACGTTCAGCCTCTATCGGCGTCACGTCAGATTCGATGGCATTGTTACACTCGGTCGCACCCACTTGCGATTATCGAACGCTTCGACCGATTAATTCCTCTTTTCCTTCCTCTTTTTTTATTTCGGATTACTGCGTGAAACAAACTCCGTTGCCGTTGTTACCCGAGTTTATCGATCGCGTTCGAATTGGGTTAAAACGCGGTCGCCCTAATATCGATCAAGTTCAGCCTGGTAACCGAACTCGGTTAACCGACTACCTTTTTTAACGCAGATCATCTGTGCTAATTGTTTTTGTTGAATTACCCGGATATGTGGATGCGTAATCGATGACGAATCGTTCGGTTACAGGCTGATTCATCTAACTGTGCACACAGTTAGATTAGATAGTATCTACTTTTATCCAGATATGGAGGTCTCTGCATTTGTAATATAATGTGAAGCTTGACTTATTTGAAATTATTATTTAATGTACGATGAATGGTCTAAGTATCGTGTGACGCTTAATGTATCATCTTACATGCTTAGAGCACGTAACATTATAGCTAGAACACTTCGTATCGTTATTGACCGACTATGCATTTTTATTGCTACTCATTGCTATTTGCTTTATTAAACAAATTTTATTGCTTGACAGTGAATTTCATATCTGGATAAGAAACTAACGTGGCAAAATCGATATGACCCTTCGTGCTGACAGAAAAATTGACATAGAAAAATCGTCTATTTAACAAAGAAAAAAAAACAGTGACGACCCAGTTACCTTCGAGTGTAATTAGCAAAGTAATAGATCCAATTAGAACCAGCTCGCGAACTCGGTTATTACACGCACGTTTAGCATCCTCGAGCGAACATAATCTTCGTTTCGCAGGTGACGAGTTTTCGGATCGATCGGCAAGATTAGCGTGCTTCCATAGTTTCGAGCTATTACGCAACGAAGCTGGCACGTACCAACGCAAAAGCTGTCATTACGTATTGCGTTGGACTCCCATTGTCGCTCAAAACTCGCGGCACCCAGAGATTTCAATGCCCGTAATTTTGTGAAACAACCGCTATCGCGTTTAATCGCTGAGTCAACGAAATTTTACTCGTTCATCGTTGCGTAACGATGCAAATGCTATCTTCGACTTAGAGAAACGCGTTTAATTAGAATCTGAAGTTCATTGTTTGCGCGTGTGACTTTAGAGCTCCAGTGCCACGCTTTGTTCGACCGAAATAGAAGCTCGAACCCTTGTTCTTTAATTATGCGCGCCGACATTCACCTAACTGTGAGAACCAGTAGCGTAGATCCGGCCTGCTTCCCCACGAAAGAAAGGATCACTCGGTCATGAAGACTCCTTAGAAATACGCTTTATCGATCTACCGCGACTACAACGAAATATTACACGAAAATTCGACGAGGAACCTTGCTGTCTAGTTTCACGAGAAACCTCTAACAGATCTGTTATCTAAAAGATCTGTTATCGTAGCTCAAAACGCACGTGGCAACACTAAAAACACCTAACACATGTCCTACCTCTGAGGCATCACAGTGAATTTTTGGATTGACAAGCAAGTAACATAACTAACAGTAATATAATTAAAACTGAGAACGATAAAAGAGACCGTATAACGATTTAAAATAAAAACGAAGTGATCGTGAGACTCACGTCTACGGAGCAGATGCTCGTGCTGTCCGTGCGCGGCGACGACTGCACTCCGAACGACGAGGCAGAGACCGATCGACAGCGCAAGACCTCCCATCGGGAGACGATCCACCAAGCCCGCCATCTTCGCCGTTTTTTCCTACCTTCTTCCCTCTACCTTTCCTATTTTTCTCACGATTCGCACCAAATTCACCAAAGAATCTTCCTTGTGTCACGCCTAGTTTACGACTGTCCTAACGTTTCTCAACCGCCTTTATCTAATCAGTCTTGATAACCGGCCAGTGCAACGAACCGTTTGTTCTCCCGATCGGCACTGAAATCACGTCGTACTCGCGTGTCGAAAGGCGTGTCACCGGGAATTTTAAGGACGTCATTTAGCGAACAAAACTGACGGGCCTCAGGTGCTTTTTGGCGCCAATTTTGACGTACAATGTTCTTGCGTTCTTTTTTACTTCTTAACTTTACTCTCGCTTTCGGTATACTTTTCGTATTCTTGCGTTTAGAGATCGCTGAGTAGGAGAAGTTGATGATGCGTAGTTTATTAGAAATTAAAAACTTTGACTGACTACTTATGTGCATCCTTGTACATCTTGCATTTTTTTCGTATTTTAGAATCGAAACCGTTCATGCATTTGACGTGAGTTCCTTGAAGATGTAGTTTATTAAAAATTAAAAATTTTGACCTCTTACGAACATTCACATACATCTTGTATTTTTTTTAAATTTAAGAAACCGTAGAATATGACAAGTATTTGAAGATGTGTAGTTTATTAAAAATTAAAAATTTTGAGCATCTTCGAACATTGACATACATCTTGCATTTTTTTTAAATTTAAGAAACTGTAGAATATGACAAGCACTTGAAAATGTATAGTTTATTAAAAATTAAAAATTTTGAGCATCTATAAACATTGACATACATCTTGCATTTTTTTCGAATTTAAGAAACTGTTCATATGACAAGTACTCGAAGATGTAGTTTATTAAAAATTAAAAAGTTTGACCATCTATAAACATTGACATACATCTTGCATTTTTTTAGAATTTAAGAAACCGTTCATATGACAAGTACTCGAAGATGTATAGTTTATTAAAAATTAAAAAGTTTGACCATCTATAAACATTGACGTACATCTTGCATTTTTTTTAAATTTAAGAAACCGTAGAATATGACAAGCACTTGAAGATGTATAGTTTATTAAAAATTAAAAAGTTTGATCATCTATAAACATTCACATACATCTTGCATTTTTTTAGAATTTAAGAAACCGTTCATATGACAAGTACTCGAAGATGTAGTTTATTAAAAATTAAAAAGTTTGACCATCTATAAACATTCACATACATCTTCCCTTCTTTTCGAATTCAAGAAACCGTTCATATGACAAGTACTCAAAAAGAATTCAATAAAAATGAAGAACTTTAAGCGACAAACATTTACATACATCTTCCCTTCTCATTAAATATGACAAGAAATTAAAAGAAAATTTTGATGAACAAACACGACAAGTACTTGAAGAAAGTTGATTAAAAACAACAATAGAACAAATCCTTAAAGACATAAAAGAAAAAAAGAAAATCATCGAATCCGCTAGAAAGAAAAATACGGCCCTGAGAGTGGAGATTCGTGGGAAACAATACTTCCGAGTATCTACGAATCTAGTTACAAAAAGTAAAACTACAACCTTGAATTGGCACTTGATCGCTCAACGATCTTTAATTGCAAACCGATCGCTCGTAGTTTAAGTACTTGTTCGCACAGAGTTTTCGCGAGCCTTGGCAGCGCGTTTCGAGCGCGGTAATCGCGTGCGTGTCGGAGGAAGTCTTTAAACGCTTCGATGCAGCCGACGTTGCCACTCGGCGCGTAATCCTGTACACTCGCGACGACACCCGACGCTACTGTTCAATTTTTTTCGCTTTCGAGTCGTGTTTCAGCGTCGAAGCTGACGGTGGAAATTTGTTTAATGCTTTAGCGGGTGGAGAACAAGATGGCGGCTGCGAGGAGTAATAGTGCTGGAGATTCCATCGTTGGGGTTCCTGAAAAATGCATAATTTCTTGTTGAGGGAGAATATATTAATCCTTTGCATTCCTATATTTTTATTTTTCTTTGCATCTTATAAATAGTTCAGATAGATGAATATATTTTATTCAAGTACTGATTTGGAATATATATATGATTATGATATGTTTAGAATTATTTTAATGTTTATAATAAAATTACTACTTTGTTGTAACATTATTAAAACATTAATAAATATAATACTATTTAATATTTATAATAAATGAAAAGTTTGTCACATACTACAAACTGTGTTTTTTTTAATGAGAGCGTCTTCCTTGATCTTTTCTTTAAATTCCAGAGCTGGTACGTAATAATGCAGAATAATAATAATATAGAAATTAAGGAGTGCAAAGGGTAAAACATAAATGAGAATATAAATATTAAATAGATGTTGTGAGAATCTCGTTTACCTTCGCTCACGCATTTATCCCCTTCCCTCGAAAAATTTTCAGCGCACGTGCAAATGTTGTGCGAGCATCTCACCGCTTTCGTCGCGTTTTCGCTTTCGTTCGCTTGGTAGCACTCGTACGTGTTGCCGCAGATTTCGTCCAGTCCTGCAAATCAGATTCGTCGGAAAATAATTTGTTAGCAAAAATAAAAGAGTACCCTTAGAAAAGTATCCTTAGAAAAGTGCACCCTTAGAAAAGTACCCTTAGAAAAGTGCCCTTAGAAAAGTGCACCTTTAGAAAAGAAAATTGCACCCTTGGAAAAGTGTGCCCTCAGAAAAGTGTACCTTCAGAAAAGAAAACTGTATCCTTGGAAAAGCACACCCTTAAAAAAGTGCACCCTTAGAAAAGAAAATTGCACCCTTGAAAAAGTGTGCCCTCAGAAAAGTGTACCTTCAGAAAAGAAAACTGTACCCTTGGAAAAGCACACCCTTAAAAAAGTGCACCCTTAGAAAAGAAAATTGCACCCTTGGGAAAGTGTGCCCTCAGAAAAGTGTACCTTCAGAAAAGAAAACTGTATCCTTGGAAAAGCACACTCTTACAAAAGTGCACCCTTAGAAAAGAAAACTATTCCCTCAGAAAAGTGTACCTTCAGAAAAGTATCCCCTCACAAAACACAAATACCTTTATCGACATAACACTGTTGCACCCCGACCTCAAAATGGAACTTCTCCCGACACCGACACTTCCCATCAACGCACAGCGAGTCTACAAACGTTTCATTGCACTGCACATGCTCGGTGCAGTTTTGAAAAATTTCCCTAGCGACAGTTAGACACTTTTCCTTGCTCTCGCTAAGAACAGTAGCGGCCGGACAGTTACAGATCTTGTCTTCGTTGCACACCGCACCTTCCACATGAGCGCACTCTTCGTCAACCGTGCACGCTGCCTCGAGATCTGCAAAAATTTCACCAATTTTGATTTTGAAGAGACTTTAAGACTTCTCTTAAAGAAGTCTTAGAGCAGCTATCGTCTCTCTCAATTACCTATCGTCTTGTAGCAAGCGTTCTCCGCGAAGTGGTATCCGACTAGGCAGGTACATTGGCCGGATTGGCAGGTGGTGTTCTGGGAGAATGAGAGGCACTGCGTGTCGTCGATGCAGGGGTAGTCGATTGCTTTGGCCTCTGAAATTTAGGAAAATGAGAGTTATGTGGGGGTTAAGGTAGAGATGTGTGGAGGTCAAGATTGAGATGTGTGGAGGACAAGATTGGGACATGTGGAGGTCAAGATTAGGACACGTGGAGGTCAGGGTTAAGACAGGTGGAGGTCAAGATCAAGTCATATGGAAGTCAAGATCAAGGACATGTGGAGGTCAAGATTAAGGACATGTGGAGGTCAAGATTAGGACATGTGGAGGTCAAGATCAAGTCATGTGGAAGTCAAGATCAAGGACATGTGGAGGTCAAGATTAAGGACATGTGGAGGTCAAGATTGAGATGTGTGGAGGTTAAGATTGAAATGTGTGGAGATCGAGATTGAGATGTGTGGAGGTTGAGATTGACACATGTGGAGGTCAAGATTAGGACACGTGGAGGTCAGGGTTAAGACAGGTGGAGGTCAAGATCAAGTCATATCAAGGTCAAGTCATATGGAAGTCAAGATCAAGGACATGTGGAGGTCAAGATCAAGGACATGTGGAGGTCAAGATTGAGATGTGTGGAGGTTAAGATTGAAATATGTGGAGATCGAGATTGAGATGTGTGGAGGTTGAGATTGACACATGTGGAGGTCAAGATTAGGACACGTGTAGGTCAAGATTAGGACATGTGGAGGTTAAGATCAAGTCATATGGAAGTCAAGATCAAGGACATGTGGATATGAAGATCAAGACATATGAAGGTCAAGATCAAGTCATATGAATATCAAGATCAAGACATGTGAATATCAAGATTAAGACATATGGATATCATCAAGATCAAGACATGTGGATATCAAGATTAAGACATATGGATATCATCAAGATCAAGTCACATAGATATCATCAAAATCAAGACACATGGATATGAAGATCACATGGTCGTATCAAGATCATATCAAGACTAATGTCATCATACATGTAATATGTTGTAATCATATGAATATCATATTGAGATCACATTATACAAATAACTTTAAACTTACTTTGAAGACACGATTTCTTGCTGCTGGACAAAATATAACCCTTCAGACACTCACACCGGCTCGCCGTCGTATTACAGAAGGAATTATTCCAAGCGCAATCGTGCTGCACCTTGCAAGTTTGATAAATCGCTACTGCAAAATGAATACTCAAGTTATTTCATCCGCAACACCCAGTCTCGTTACCCAAACCATTATTTTTCCTTCAGTGCAAGAAGTTTTATTAGTTTAATCTTCGAAGGTTCTAAGTCATTTTTAATTTCATTCATTCGAAAAATACATAGATCATTTGTATGAAAGAGAAATGAAGAATTTTTACCCGCGCTCCGGTTGGTCTGATGCATCAGCTCCGCGCTAGAGCAGTTCTTGATCGTAGTACCATCATTACACACGCAAAATCCATTTCTACACGAGGCGTTTTTCATAGAGTTGTACGAAACAATGCAGCCTTGGGAATCGCTGCAAGGAATCGCCGGATCTGAAAGTACATCGCATTTGCTGTAGACCGTAACATGCCATAATACAGTTTGTAACAATTTCTGACATCGATTTTCTGTCTTATTACGTCTAACAAGTTTTACTCTTAAATAATAGTATTGCGCTATTGCATGTATGTTTTCAGTATACAAGGTGTCACTCAGTGTTTTATTAGCAGTGTTCGGTAATAAAAATTATGCCAAAATGGTGACTCCATAATGGGGGCTCCATAAGAAAATGGAGGCTCTATAACAAAATGGAGGCTCCATAAGAAAATGGAGCCTCAACCAATATTTTGTCTCAGGAAAAAGTTGTTCAGAGTCACCCTACTTATAGCTTTTTGGCTCTTGCAGTAATTGTGGAACACCCTGTATATTTTTATTACTGTTTTAAAATGTGTTATACTAAATAGACATGAGTGAAGTCGCAGTACTGTGACATGTAGGTATATTTTTATTATACAAGGTGTCCCACAGTGTTTCTTGCTAATAACTCAAAAATGGAGCCTCAACCTATATTTTGTCTGAGGAAAAAGTTGTTCAAAATCACCCTATATACTCCTTTTTGGCTCTTGCAGTAATTGTGCAACACCCCATATGTTTTTACTGCTGTTTTAAAATATTTCATACTAAATAGACATGAGTGAAGTCGCAGTACTGTGACATAATTATATTTTTATTATACAAGGTGTCCCACAGTGTTTCTTGCTAATAACTCAAAAATGGAGCCTCAACCTATATTTTGTCTGAGGAAAAAATTATTCAGAATCACCCTATATACTCCTTTTTGGCTCTTGCAGTAATTGTGCAACACCCCATATGTTTTTACTGCTGTTTTAAAATATTTCATACTAAATAGACATGCATGAAGTTGCAGTACTGTGACATAATTATATTTTTATTACATATGTGTGAAATGTGAACTTGTCTGAATTGTATCATTAATAATAAAATATATTATCAAGTCTCATTATTTATTATGGTTCTCCTAAGATATTTATTATGATTCTTCTAAGAGATTTGATTTGATCCAAGATATTTGATCATCTTCTAAAAGACAATTCTTTTAAGAAATTCATTATTATTCTTCATTTTTAAAAAATGTATTTAAGGATTTAAATATTAAATTCTATGATGAAAGGTTTCTAAAATTTCTCAGAAGAATTTTTATTTATAATAAGACAACTTTATAAGACACAAGACGACTTTTGTGTCTAACTATATGTGTCCTGTCAACATAAACAGTATCTTCTTTTATACTAGCAAGAAGAAAGGTCGTCTTTATTTTGAAACGAAGCATGTCGATCCTACTCTGTTAAACGGGAACGTTTCTAAACATACCACGTTTCGCGGAAGCAATGGAATTATGCCGATACGTCGATTATCTCTAAATTGACATTAAATCAATCGTTTAACGGCTCTCGGTTAACCATTTCGGGAGATACGGACGTTAATGTACTCGGATATATCCGACACGGAAATGGTTTCGAAAGAACAGCAGTGGTTTCGCGAAATCGTAAACGAGAAATGCCTATCTGTTGTAGTCATGCCTTCGCAACGATAAGTGTAATTAGGCGGCTTGTTACGAACGTAATACGTCGACCTTTCGAATCCTGGTGTTTTATGGAGATTTCCATGATGCTCGAGATGATGCTATTTCATGCATTTTTCAATGATTGTTTGAAATGATTTTATTTTATGTTTCTTTTTTAATGATGTTCGATGTGATTGTATTTTATGTACATTTGAATGCTGTTCGAAATGATTGTATTTTATGTTCTTTTTTAATCATGTTCGAAATGAATGTATTTTATGTTTCTTTTTAATGATGTTCGATGTGATTGTATTTTATGTGCATTTGAATGCTGTTCGAAATGATTGTATTTTATGTTCTTTTTTAATTATGTTCGAAATGAATGTATTTTATGTTTCTTTTTAATGATGTTCGATATGATTGTATTTTATGTACATTTGAATGCTTGTTCGAAATGATTGTATTTTATGTTCTTTTTTAATTATGTTCGAAATGAATGTATTTTATGTTTCTTTTTAATGATGTTCGATGTGATTGTATTTTATGTACATTTGAATGCTGTTCGAAATGATTGTATTTTATGTTTTTTTTTAATTATGTTCGAAATGAACGTATTTTATGTTTTTTTTTTAATGATGTTCAAAATGATTGTATTTTGTTTTTTTTTTTAATGATGTTCAAAATGATTATATTTTATGCACTTTTAAATGATGTTCAAAATGATGATATTTTATGTATTTTTGAATGATGTTCAAAATGGTGATATTTTATATACTTTTCAATGATGCTCAAAATGGTGGTACTTTATGTATTTTTCAATGATGTTCAGAGTGGTGGAATTTTTTATATAATTTAATGATGTTCAAATATACATAAAATCCTTCCAAAAGTACCAAAAATTGAAATATTCACAGACAAACATTTGAAACACCTACATATACATATAATAATCTTGAATCCTAATATAATAAACTTGAATCCTGATATAATAAACATGAATCCTAATATAATAAACTTGAATCTTAAAATAATAAACTTGAATCCTAAAATAATAAACTTGAATCTTAAAATAATAAACTTGAATCCTGATATAATAAACTTGAATACTAATATAATAAACTTGAATACTAATATAATAAACTTGAATCCTAATACAATAAACTTGAATCCTAATATAACAAACTTGAATCCTAATATAATAGACTTGAATCCTAATATAATAAACTTGAATCCTAATATAATAAACTTGAATCCTAAAATAATAAACTTGAATCCTAAAATAACAAACTTGAATCCTACTATAATGAACTTGAATCCTAATACAATAAACTTGAATCCTACTATAATAAACTTGAATCCTAACACAATAAATTCGAATCCTAACACAATAAACTTGAATTCCAACACACTAAACCTGAAACCAACTCCAATAAAAACGAGAATGAAGCGCGTACAGAATCACCGAAACGAGTCGCAATTAATCAAACGCCAACGAAATCGAAACAAGAACGAAATCGCATTTCAACACAATTTCAGCGTAGAATAACAGCGTCGATTAATAATAGTCTGTTAACTCGATATCGATTACACATATGTTCGAAGCTTACCGAAACGTTGGTCGAGCGCGTAACAGAAGACCGCGAAAAGAACAAGGGAAGCCAGAGGCCTGCTTATATTCTCGGAGACGATCATCGTTAATAACTCACGGTGTTCGCGCATTCGGTTGCAAACTGCGAAATATCGGTTCGCGATCGAGCGTCGATAGCACGCGACTGACGAACGCTGAGCACGAACCGTGCTTTACCATATTCTCCTACCATCCTGATTTTCTTGTTGGCTACAGCCGACGCTTGGGACTCGCGCATTAACGTTTACTGTGAATTCAAATTTCTGGAGAAAAATTTTTAGGGAGACCTTACAAGTTTATTTTGAAAGAATTTCATTTACTATTTCTGTAAAACAATTTTAAAAGAGAAATTGACTATTCAAGTTTCAGAAAAGAAGTTGACCTTTCAAGTTTCAAAAAAGAAGTTGACCTTTCAAGTTTCAAAAAAGAAATTGACTATTCAAGTTTTAAAAAAGAAATTGACCTTTCAAGTTTCAAAAAAGAAATTGACCTTTCAAGTTTCAAAAAAGAAACTGACCTTTCAAGTTTCAAAAAAGAAATTGACTATTCAAGTTTCAAAAAAGAAACTGACCTTTCAAGTTTCAAAAAAGAAATTGACTATTCAAGTTTCAAAAAAGAAACTGACCTTTCAAGTTTCAAAAAAGAAATTGACTATTCAAGTTTCAAAAAAGATGTTTCGAAAAAGAAATTGACCTTTCAAGTTTCAAAAAAGAAATTGACCTTTCAAGTTTCAAAAAAAAAGTTGACCTTTCAAGTTTCAAAAAAGAAATTGACTATTCAAGTTTCAAAAAAGAAACTGACCTTTCAAGTTTCAAAAAAGAAATTGACCTTCCAAGTTTCAAAAAAGAAATTGACCTTTCAAGTTTCAAAAAAGAAATTAACCATACAATTTCAAAGAAAAATTAGTCATGCAATTTCATTTAAAAGTTTTATAAAAGAAATTCAAAGAAAAACTTGAATACAAAAAATCTTAAAGAAAAATTGATCATGTAATTTCATTTATAACTTGAATACAAAAAATCTTAAAGAAAAATTGAAACAAAAATTCAACAAAAAAATTGATCATATAACTTCATTTAAAACTTGAACAAAAAAATTGAAGAAATAAATTGATCATATAATTTCATTTAGAACTTCAATAAAAAAATTTCAAACAAAAATTGATCATGTAACTTCATTTTAAACTTGAATAAAAAAATTGATCATACAACTTCATTCAAAACTTGAGCAAAAAAAATTGAAAAAATAAATTGATCATATAATTTCATTTAAAACTTCAATAAAAAAATTTCAAACAAAAATTGATCATGTATCTTCATTTTAAACTTGAATAAAAAAAGTTGATCATACAAATTCATTCAAAACTTGAATAAAAAAAATTGATCATACAAATTCATTCAAAGCTTCAATAAAAAAATTCAAAAAAGAAATTGATCACATAACTTCATCTAGAACTTGATTAAAAAAGTACAGTTCAACCCAGAAACCAGTAAAGACCAAGAGCACTGAATCCATCATAAACGATAATCGTAAGACTGTTTATATTAAACTCACCTCTGATTCACCACGCTAGATATACCTATCAGAGATAAGTGAGATAACGAGTACGATAGTAAGGCGTGCATTGCGCAGCGTTTCAGTTTTCGAAAACGTACGTTCACAACCGCTCGCGTTTCGAGCGTCACTTTCTTGCTATTCCTCTGTTTCGCACAAAAATGAAGAGTGTTTACCAGTTGGTACTATTAACCGCCATCTTCGGTTGCGTCGCGAGCTATACACGTGAGTGACTCATTTTGGTGCAAGAAATTCTTTGTGAAAGTGTGTCTTTCTGTTTTGTAGAGATCTTGGAAGAGTACGGGACGACGAGGATCGGTGAGAGATGCGAGAGGGACCGGAATTGTATCAGGCACGCTTACTGCAGGGCGCAGATGACTTGCCTCTGCGACCCGTATTACTCACCGACGCTCGATAAGACTATGTGCATCGCTAGTGAGTACCCGACAGGTTTATTATTACGGGGGGCAATACCTTTAGAATCTTAAAAAATTACAAAATTTTTGTTTGTATAAAATGTTAGTGTATCTTAAAAATATTGTCTCAAAATTTTCGAGCGAAATACAGTGCGGAGGCACAGGATCGTCATAGTTCCGGCATTTTGAAATATTTTGCAAAACAGAAAATATTAATAGGCAATAGTTATAACAAATTACACCTGCAATTTCGAAAATGCAAAACAAAGGTGTCCCAAAAAATTCACAAACATCAGCTTATTTTCATCTGTCTAAAGGTATTGCCCTTAATCTGGTATTCACCTCTTCAGTACAATAAATCGAGCAATCGTTCGACAACGAATCAAACAAATTTTTATTCCAACAGGCGCCGGATTGAATTGCGCCAACGACCAGGCGTGTGAAACAATGACGAACGCGGAGTGCAAGCAAGGAGCGTGCGCCTGCAAGGACTCCTTCATGCAGGACATTCGGAACTCGTCGAACTGTATCAGAAGTAATTGACTCGAGCCGATAGATTCGATGACATAGTTATGACACGTATGGTTTGCAGGACCCGTGAAGGAGGAAGATCTTTGTCAACGGAACGACGACTGTCAGGACGCGATGGGAAGAGCGATGTGCATCAATGGACGCTGTCGATGCATCACGTCGTATCACTTCGCGAACGAGACCGGCAAATGCGTGCAGACACGATGTAATGATTTTCGGAGATTAACTCCTTTCCGTACTTTGACGAGTCTCACTCATGACGCACTTATAGCTTAAGGGGGCGTCATTCTCATTTTTTCTGCGTCTCCATTGAAGTAAATGGGAAAAAGGTGGTCTCACATGAGGTACCTTTTCTGGAGAACCAGAGCACCTGCATGTACGTCCAAGGTACCAAATTAAAGCTAAGGAGATGGCCGACAATGTGAGTGAAGTGGATTTTTTTTGTAAGCCTTCATTTTTTTTTGTAAACACTTCAAACCTGACAACTTACCTCAACGGCCACACTTATGGCCAGTTTTAAAAAAATTGAAGGCCTACAAAAAAAATCCACTTCACTCAGATTGTCGGCCATCTCCTTAGCTTTAATTTGGTACCTTGGACGTACATGCAGGTGCTCTGGTTCTCCAGAAAAGGTACCTCATGTGAGACCACCTTTTTCCCATTTACTTCAAGGTACCTTATGTGAGACCATCTTTTTCCCATTTAGTTCAATGGAGACGCGTGCGCAGAAAAAATGAGAATGACGTCCCCCTTAAATAAATGGCACGGGAAGGGGTTAAGTAATGATTAGGATGACATAGCTGATTGATAAACGCGTTTCCAGTTTTGTACAACGCGTGCAGCGGGGACTACGAGTGTGTCGACTTCGAGAATGAATTCGTCCTTCAGTGTAGGAACGGAGCGTGCGTCTGTAAGGAAGGCGAGCCTGGGTGTAGCGGAGGTTAATTAGAATTAATTGTTTCGTCGCTATTTCGTTTGGACGACTTCTTTACTCTTTTGCTTGTTTTTAGCTTCGTATGCGGTCGCTGGAGTCGGTGTGGTACTTTCGTTCTTCCTGCAGAGACTGATTTAAGACGAACAAACTTTATTTACATAAATGTCATTTTTCATTTCGTGATGAACGAAATTGTTGCCCCTGTCGAAATGAGGGTACTTAGAATGAAAGTAAATTCATTCCGTGTAAATACTTGAACTCGGAAGATAAAGTAACTCGTCTTCCCTTGTTTGTATATCTATTTGTAATAATTGACAAAAATATAATTTATTCAATACATGAAATGTCGATTTACATCTCGTCGTAAACAGTAAATAAATATATTTATATGAACGTTAAGAAATTGTGTGCATTGCTTCCCTTCATACTAAAGTACGGAATTTTGGAAAAAGGGAGCAGCGCCATCTAGCGGACGGGGTTCCGCGGCGACTATTAGTAACAGGAGCGCAGAAAAGTATAAGAGGTATACCAGGAGTAAGAGGTATCCTGCTACTGCGCATGCGCGCCGCCATGCACGACGCCATGCGTGGTAGGAGGTATATGCATGCGCAGTGGGATGCGCGGTAGCATGCATAATGGCGCTAGCCCCACCTCTTCAACATGGCGTCGACTCATACGAGTACCAGCTTTGAAAAATAATTACTAATTACCAACGATTAATTTACGAGTTTTTATGATTGAATAAATTAATACAATTTATTAGCAATCTCCCTATATAAATTTTATCAGGATTTTAATCGAGAATGAGGTAGAAAATATTTTTACAGTGCACCTACCATCGAAATATTTAAAGAAATATCAACTAATTACCTGCAATTAAAATCTTAGCAAATGTCATATCAGAAAATAGATAATAAATTGAAAATCATTTTCCGATCATAAAAGTTTATAAATTGTACTTGAAAAAAGAGTAATTAATTATTTTTAATCACTAATACTATTGACCGCCATTTTGGAGTGACGTCACTCGACTGTACTGCGTACGCGCGCAATTGCGCGGGAAACCTCTTATTTTAGCGAATACCTCCTCGTTTTTCTGCGATCCTGCTACCAGGAGCAGCCGAAAAGCGCCGTCCGCTAGATGGCGCTGTTCAAATTCTAACTTTGCGGCAAATTTAACCTACGGGTTCTAGATTGCAATAGTAATGAACTTCAATATTTATAAACATAAATCCGATATTCCAGAAATTAACAGTAGTGTAAATTTGTTAATAATTTAGCAAATATCAAATTAATTGTAACGTCAGCACTGCATTTACAGGTGGTCAGTTTTTTTTTGTGGGTTACCTTCTACGTATTGTGTGAAGTAGTGCACTTATACTCTTACTATTAGATACGTAGTGCGGAAACAGAAATTATGGTTTAATGAATAATAGAAATTTTAATATACCGTCAATCGTATAAATTTACCGATTTAGACATTCTTATTAAAACGTCATCTGTCTCTGAAGCGAATACCGTATTTTCGAACTTACTGCAGTGATTTCCACAGATGAGGTTATGTTCAGGTTGTGCTAAATTTTTCTCTCAGTCTAAATGAAATAAATTGATTTCATTGATGAAATATTTGAAAGGATTTAGACGAGATTATTCATATTTTACTACGTAATATAAATATTGAATAAAAGGTGAGTTTCTACACGTTAAGATAAAACGATATTGTATACTAATCATATAATTATGAATATTTAGCATGTCGTGGTTCGTGAAAACAATACACACAACTGTTAATGCTTGGGTACCACAGCTGACATCGGTACGATTTCGTTATCACGCGGATAAACTAGCTAAAGGTCCTCTGTTAAGACGTTATGGTTACATTGATCCTCTTGAAAATTTGAGAGGACTCTTACCTCGTACAGATAACAGAGTAGTACAGTTGCCAGTGTACAGACCAAAGGATGCTTGGAGCGAAAAGAGAGCTCTATTTGGACAAAATGATTATATAGATATTCTAGGCTCAGATAAGCTTCATCCTACAAAAATTTTGTATAATGTTCCAGCATGGTTAAGAGGTGTTGGTGGAAACGAGTATCAAGTATTGTTAAGGAAACGTAAGATGTTGAAACGCGGTATATTCCCTATAGCCAGACCAAGTAGATGGAGGGATTTAAATAAGAGAATCAAATACCTGTACAAATTCTTGAACCGTAAAACTAGAACTCATCGAAGCGCTCAGTAATGCATTTAAATACTTGTAAAAATATGTAAAATATATGTTGTGGTAACTTGAATACGTTTGTTCTTTATTTAACATAAAGTCCTTGGATAACAATAATGAGTATACACACTGTAGCAAAATATAAAACAACGAATTTATTTGTTGACAAATAATTATTATTAATCGGATAAACAATTTATATGTAAGCGTGAAACAGTGTAAATACTTTCCTGTTTAAATACTTGTTATCGATGCTTATTGTAAAAACATGAGTGATCGCGTATATGTATATACAATTAAGCGTAAAATGATTATAGATACACTTCCAACGAAGACAATATCTTGTAAGTACAACAAAGGAAAAATTCTAAAAAGATTTATGCAGATCTAGTAATATCCATCTATGTATATATGTATATATGTACAAACGAATTACGAGTATTGTCAATTTTTCTTAAAAAAGTAGCACTACAATTTTATGCTTATAAATTTTTATCGTTCATTAAATCGGCTACGAGTTTCATTACCTGTTTCGCGATGGCTGTATTTATTGTTTTTTTTTTTTGTTAGAAACAGAGAAAATGCTCTTTATACGTAGACACGTAGAATTTTCAGCTGTTTTTATTGTAAATTTTAAGTGTAAAATCATAATACTGTTTGAATAGTAGTTACGGACTTTATACAAAATATAAGGTTCGTGTTAAACACCATCGCGAACATAAAGACACGAGAAACAACTTTTAATTTCTTTAATCTATGTACATAATGTAATGGCAGTCACTCAAATTGTTAAAATCTTGTCATAATCAACTGAACAAAAACAATGCATTTATAAATGGTTTTGTAAGAATGACAGTAGCGTGGTCTCATAATGTTTACTGGCATCCAAACTTCTAAGACTATGTCTTTCGTTCGGATAAACTTGCAGTTGATACGGTTTGCCAGATTTGACAAGAGCATTAATCAGTTGACTCGTATGAAAAAAGTGCACGTTTTCATCTATAAGTCCGTGAATTATTAACAATCTATTTTCTTCGTCCGGGAATTTATCCACGTATGTTAGAATCGATCCTGCCATATATCCATGGGGATTATTTTGAGGTAAATCCATGTAACGTTCAGTGTATCCAGTGTCGTAAAAGTTCCAAGAAGTAACTGGTGCACCCGCTATCGCCAACTGAAAACATTAACGTGAAAGCGTCTGTCGCAAACTTCTACACGCTCATGAAAATACCTTAAATATTTCCGGGTATTGTATCAAGCCCATCAGACTTAAATATCCTCCGTAAGACCAACCGTGTAAGGCTACGCGATTCAAATCTATGTATCCAGTACTTTCCGCCAACCATTTCAGTACTTCGACTTGATCGTTTAACTCGACTGTTCCCATTCTGTGTTGCAAATGACTCTCAAATACTAAGCCTCTGTGATGAGAACCGCGCGAGTCAATTAATACTACACAGTACCCTTGAGCAGCTAACATGTGCATCCTCAAATGCCTCATTCCCTGAAATATATGAATGTACATTGTGCAGAAACAAATATCGATTTAAACTTTTAGAATGCTTACTTTAAATGTATTCGATACTAATTGTACTTCTGGACCACCGTAAACGTTCAGTATCGTAGGATACTTTACGCCACTTTGAAAATTATGCGGTTTAAAAATCATGGAGTAAATAGTATCGCCACAGGATATTTTGTGAGTATAAATTTCTGGCGCAAATAATTCGGATTCAGGAACCGACGGTTCCAGTAAATAGCCCACAGGCGTTAAAGAAATACTTTCCACCGTCCAATCTGATTGCGATATTTTAAATACCTGAAAGAAGCATTGGTTGTCACAAAATTTCGTCTAAATTTATCTGTCACAAGAGAATCGTACTTGACAAGTGGGTAATGTTTTGATGGAGCTGTAAACGGTCACTAGCATCGTACATTCCTTATTAAAATATATGCTGTTGTGACTATAACCTGGCCTCGTGAGTAACCTTATTTCTAGTGGGCGACGAAGAGACACGGCATAAACGTGTTGTTCTAACGGACCTTCGCGCAAGCCGCAAAAATAAACGATTGAGTTGGCTTCGTCTACCCACAACTTTTTACCTAATACTTCCCACTCTCCTTGAGTTAAAGCAACTTTAGAAGTAACTCGAGGTTGTAAGAAAATACTATCCATTCTATCCAACGGTTCTTCCACTTCATTGTTCATACCTACAAAGAAACATACATGAGTCTCGCGAACTTTCGCGATATACGCTTATTAGGATTTTACCTGCTATACTGGATGTAATGAGATACAGATGTCTAAAATCAGATTCCTCGCTGCCCCACAAGAATTTCACCTCTGTGGGATCGTTGGACGGTAAAAAATACAAGAGATCGTTAACGTTTATCCAAATTGAACTTTCTTCGGAATATATTACTTGTACGCTCGCCGATGAAGGCGTGAAGTGATTCTCTGAATTGTAAATGTTCGGTGGTGGCTCACAGAAATTATCTATGGATAATAAAACTAATTCGAGCTTTTGCTGCTTCCTGTCTAACAGCTGGACCCAGACACTACATTCGTACAAAACATTTTAATTACAGAAATTATATACTCGTTAAAAACAATGTTTCTGACTTACTATTGTGCATCCGGAGTCCATCCCACTCTCACTACATATTCCATCCACGGAAACATAATATGTAGGGGATATTGGAGCTCCAGTATATCGATATCAACGATTTGTAACGTTTCCGTTAATCGAAATTGCACCATCTTCAGATTACTTCTGGCATTGGGTGTGCCAGCTCTGGGAAATCTAAATTCGTCAATTTCATCAGAGTTTGACGTCGATGGGAAACAAAATATTTTTACGTCACTTTCGTCAACTTCCTCGTATACTATTCTGTAAACGCCATCGCTAGATTTTGGTTGCCACCAATAACCGGTATACCTAAGTAAACACAAACATTTTGTCAGAATGCATCAGTTCAAACATCTGTTATCACGTTACAAAGTATGTTACCTAGTAAATTCTTCTTGCATTACGTAAGAAGGAGTTCCAGCAGTAAGAGGATCATCTGCTAAACTTCTTCCACCTTTTCTCGCGTGAGTTAGTCTTACAGAAGAACCTGTGATGCTGTGGGACAGATACAAATCCCCTGAGCATGTATGAGCAATTAATGCATTGTTCCAAGGACAAATTTGTGGACATAATTTTGCACCTGATGTTGACATACGAATTTCAGATGGAAAAAGAGGTCCAGCCTAATATATAAACATTTTTACTGTCTTGTTATTTTAACTGTATACGAAAGTGAAAGAATATAAAAATTAGTACCATGAATCCTGTGTCTATACATTGATATAGACTACTGGCAGCCGGAAAAACTAATTTTCCACTATCCAAATGAATTTCATAACTAGTGATACCCCATGTGGCTAATCTTTTTCTTTCCCATAACAACTGTTCTTCCTTCGATAATCTTTTGGTACTCGATACTCTGCAAACAGATGGATTATTTTAATAGCGCCTCAAGAGAAAACCATTGGTATCTACTGATGAAGAGTAATATTACGTTTGAAAATTTGCTTCAATAACAGGTTGCCAGTGAAGTCGATAGCCATTAGCATGATCCGAATGAGCAATGTCCACGTACAATAAGGTAGTTTCCCATCCATTACTCGGACTACTAAGAAAATATATTCTGGTCCTAAAAATAAAAAATGTATTTCGCTCGAAAATGTTGGATGATATAGAAGAGAATATTGCTACACTGATAAGGGTTATGTTCCGAGTTCAATATTCCCTACCTTCCATCGGGTAAAGACCGAAACGTTATGGATCCAGGTACAGAACCAACAGATACTCCAGACAATTTTCTACGTAGATCACTGACAACGCCTCTTAATTCGGACCAACATCTTTGCGTTACCGTGGTGTCAGTCAGGGTCCGGTCGCCCCTTTCGTTACAAGTCTCCATATTTTTTCCGTCTCTATCTCTGTTTTCGATGAGTCATTTATAAAGAAGACAACACTTTGGCACAATCATGTCAAACAGTTTTCGAAAAGCGATATCGTATCGCTGTGGATTTCGTGAAATCTGCGATAGCCGCGCATACAGCTTATTTTTAGGTTATGTCCGTAGACGGTTCTCACTTTCACCTTCTCCCCGAACTCGGCTTCTCCCTTCTCTCGTCAACCCACGACCACGGCATTAATTTTATCAAATCACGAGTTTCGGTTTTTTTATTCGAATGGAGTGCCAAAAATTTTCCGCGGCCTGTCACCGCTTATTTATATGACAATTCTACCCTTTAGCCCTTACAAATATACATGTATGTATTTATTTTTATTGTCATAGAGAAGTAACACGTGAGACTAGACTGTCATTGCGGTAAGATAATGAACCTTTCTTTTTTTATTGAGTTATCTTGAAAATAAAAAAGATCTTGATTCTTTTTGGCGGATATTTATGTGATGAAGTTATACGGAAATTATTTTTAGGATATATCGAATTTTTTCGAGGCAAAGTCGAGGTCACGTGATTCTTTCCCTCGTTTTTTTTATCCTTCCTGAAATGTGTCAGTATACTCCATAAATCGATGCTTTTCTGTTATAATCGAAGCAGATGAAGAGGTATAAGAAATTGAAACAGACAAAATCGTTTTCATCAATATTTCTCTTTATTGCAGAATAACTTTGAGGACAGAAATAAAATATTCTTGAGGTGTGTCAACAAAATTAAGATTTTGTAATAGGTTATTTTCTATGGTTAATTTTTACAGTATTATTGCAAGTATATTAAAACATGTTTTTGATTAGAGAACGATGGTCGGTCATTTGAGAATACCTCACTGTTTAGTGAAGAAGCCTTTTACAGTCAGTATAGGAAAGTTGGATTTTTATTCTTTGAAGACGGTCAAGAAGGAATATTCGGTAAGGATATTAATTTTATTCGCTTCGTAAAATTCTGAGTGAAAAGAAATTCGTAATATTAGAACATATATTTAAAAAATTATTAAAGGAACCGTATGAATGTTACACTGTATATCAAGGTGGAATATTTCGACGATACTTACGTTATTTAGGAAATAAAGAAACGACGCTTAACGTCATTCGAAAAAGTTCTTCGATTTATCTTTTCTTATAGCTCATACTTTCTGCTTCAGGGTATCCGGAACGTTTTTCTCTTTTATGTGGGTTACCCAGCAAGTCACTAAAAGCTCTCGTAAATATGGCATGCATCGATTTAAATATTAAACGTAGGCTCGTGAGCGCCATGTAAAACGAGCCTGACCAGTTACGCAACTTAGCTACTGTTTCGGCCTGATTAAAATCGGATTCTCCACTTGGAGTCGCGACGAGTTACGAACAGGTGGTTAGCGTCATCGGTGGTCGACGTAAATGGGGCTCAAAGGCCGCGCACATGGTACACGGGAATAACTTTATTCGATAACATGGCCGAAAAGGGGCAGATAGAAAATGGGCTCGATTTCATTATTGTTTTATAGCGTTTTGGTCACAGAGGGTGCAATCGATCAGTCGCAATCGATGCCGCAAGGTCATTGGCTGCAAGATGACATCTTTTGACTAAATACAACTTTAATATCTTTCTTCAATTTTTATCTTGGTAGCTACATTTTTATCTTCATACTTTTATTTTTATTTTGGTAATTACATTTTTATCTTCATACTTTTATTTTTATTTTGACAGGTACCACTTTTATCTGGATACTTTTATTTTTATTTTGTCAGGTACTATTTTTATCTTCATACTTTTATTTTTATTTTGGTAATTACATTTTTATCTTTATACTTTTATTTTTATTTTGACAGGTACCATTTTTATCTGGATACTTTTATTTTTATTTTGACAGGTACTATTTTTATCTTGATACTTTTATTTTTATTTTGGTAATTACATTTTTATCTTGATACTTTTATTTTTATTTTGGCAGGTACCGTTTTTATCTGGATACTTTTATTTTTATTTTGCCAGGTACCACTTTTATCTTCATACTTTTATTTTTATTTTGTCAGGTACCATTTTTATCTTGATACTTTTATTTTCATTTTGGTAATTACATTTTTATCTTCATACTTTTATTTTAATTTTGAACGTGGTATTTATTTTTAATTTTTGGTTTTAGCAATAGTGGAATAAATCGACAGGCGTAGTCTCACGTAGAACCGAGGAAGAATAAGCAAGAAGAGAGAGCCGGTCAAGCCGAGCCTAGGGCATCAAAGATTTAAGCTTCGTATCTCTTAAAGCCGTCATTCGTCCCTTACACGCCCACTCGTACATGTCTCCTACCCTCCATTGTCTCGGTTCTACCGAACGGTAAACTATTTATCAGCAGTCTGAAACGAGTTACCGCGAATGTGCATTTCGCCGCAGCAGCTTTTTCTCGATTCACGTACTCGCGTGAATGTTTCAAGGACAGGTACTTCTCGGTTTACGTGAACTTCGGCTACTTCCACCTAAAAAGGGTGATTCAAGGAACGGGGAGCGACAGCTCGAGGACTCTACGTCCTCTGTTGAATACAGGAAATTTTTAGAAATAGGTAAAAAACGAGGAATATTTAGCAGAGGTAAATTTTTGTTAATTATAGATATGTGCTTTGAAACGTGCTAGTTGAATTGATTTAGTAAAGAGGTAAATTTTTGTTAATTATAGATATGTGGTTTGGAAGGTCTCGATGCTAGTTGAAATGCGAGACGCTTCCTTGGAGCTCGTTCAACTCGCTACATAATGCAGCTGGTTATATTGAATACTCCGCGGCAAAGTGATAAAGAAATCCGCGAAAAGCTCCCTAGACTGACGTTTACGGAATATTAGATAGACGTGTTTCAGAAGGATTTGAACGTATTTCATTCTCTTCCGCAATTTTTCATTGGGGAAAAATGGGGTTTAACGATTCTTGATCGATAAAACGCGATAAATCGTACAAAGGGTGGGTAACCACCCTTATGAAATGCTCCATTTCCCCTTTAAGCTAATATCGTTCGAACGGCTACTTACGGCCACTGATTTGTAATGCAATTTTCTGCCTAGCTAAAGTCTCGGATAAAAATAACGTTTCCCTATTAATTCGATAAGGATTGTCTGAATTTTCCTATTACTCACCTGTTCTATTTTCTGGACAGAAGATAAATAAGTAAAAATCATTGCCCATGATCGTGGAATCGCGTGACCGCGTTTCGTGACGCGATTCACCCTCAGAAAACAAGGAAAAACAGAAGGGAAAAGCCCAGACGATTTACGCTCGTGAATTTTTTGCTATTCCCGTATTCTCGGTTCTCCAACCCCGGTGACCTTAATACCTTCCCCAGTCAATTATGAAAACTGAAATACGAGGAAAGTTTCCTGTTCGTAATAGATCCGTTTTCTCGTTCTTCGATCGACGTCCAAGATGGCGGATACATCGATAGGGTATCCATTCGGGAGTGGATGCGTGTAAATGTGCTCCGCTCGCATCTTTAGGGTGAAAATATGCCCGCCTGTTCCGGATATATCGCGTCGCTTCGTGCTGTTGCGATATTACGCTGGAGGATATAAAAGGGGAGAATATAAACGCGTGGCACGAACTTATGCTATCGAATTACGGTCATCGTTTTTCTGTCACGTGTATTAGACTTCGTCTGCCTTTACTTGCTTCGATATTTTTCTTTCTTTGTCTATTGACTACAATTTGACGTCCGTTAAAATTTAAGGATATTAAAATATTTTATGTTTAGCTAGGCTATGCAATGTTTAGGATAAAGCAAGTTTTGGGACAAACTTTAATATTGTAGTGAAAGTTGTAACATTTGCAATGTGCAACAGAGACATTAAGGTCAATAGACAATTTAATATGTGTTCATTCTTTTCTTCTTTTCTCAATTAACTTGCTATACTATTTGTCATATGTTCATAGCTTAAAATTGAAGAAAATTAAGATATTTTATATTCAGCAAGGCTATGCAAAGTTTAGGAATAAAGCAAGTTTTGGGACAAACTTTAATATTGTAGTCAAGTTTGCAACATCTGCAATGTGCAACAAGGACATTAAGGCCAATAAACAATTTAATATTTGTTTATTCTTTTCTTCTTTTCTCAATTAACTTGCTGTACTATTTGTCACATGTTCATAGCTTAAAATTGAAGAAAATTAAGATATTTTATATTCAGCAAGGCTATGCAAAGTTTAGGAATAAAGCAAGTTTTGGGACAAACTTTAATATTGTAGTCAAGTTTGCAACATTTGCAATGTGCAACAGGGACATTAAGGTCAATGTACAATTTAACATTTGTTTAACTAAAAATTATAAACTTGTATCAACTTTAAAATGTCAGTCAAGTTTGCAACATTTCTAATGAGGAACAGGGACACTAAGGTCAATGTACAATTTAACATATGTTTAACTAAAAATTACAAACGTGTATCAACTTTAAAATGTCAGTCAAGTTTGCAACATTTTCAACGTGCAGTAGACATTAAGGTCAATGAACATTTTAACATTTGTTTAATCAAAAGTCACAGAAATTACCTCAAGTAAAGCGAAAGTTTTAAACCTGTTGCGTCCAAAATACCGTAAACGCAGAAACTAATCGATGAAACCGCTTACGAAAATCAATCCCAAGAAATATATTTGAGACACCGCAGGAATACGAGCTAATATTTCTCGAAGGGAGAAAAAGGTACGGTGAAATTTCCGTGCTTTTTTCCCATGGCGACCGCAATTTAGCCGACAGGGACGTACATAACGCGTGCCCTTGGGGGTCCAATATCGATTTCCGTCTGGCCTCTAGCGTAATACCTACCTGTATCTGCTCCTTTTCTTCGCAACCTATTTTTTCGAAAGATAAGGAATTTAGGGAAAGAATGCATCTTTTCTTCGAATGATCCATCTTTGGGAGATATAAGAGTGGAAACTTTTATATGGACAAAAAGTCACGTGTAATAATGATAATGATAATGATAATCGTATTAACTAAGGTAGTGACAAAAATAAATCGCAACGATACAAATAAGTCTTACGGTTCATAAATTAATAGTAATTCCGCCTTTCTCCCGCGGGACATCTTCTTGCCGCTCTTCCCTCGATTTCTTCGTTCCTTCCTTCGGGAGTCCCTCTATGCCGGTATCGCGCTTTCGTGACTAGACAGACTAGTTTCGAAATCGTCGAAAACGTGGAGCATGTTACAACGTAGATATATTTTAAGTTCAAGACCAAGCTCCATACCGTGCTCGACGTTTTTGGCGATGTAACAATTCTAATTTGACGCTCGTATAATAAAAATACACTCGTAATATATACAGCGTTTGTACTCGAAATAAAGCGCTCGATGGAATGATAAAACGTTGCGCTAACATAAGAAGTTGGTTATCCATGACAGCCTTTTGTTCCTTCCCTCGTTGAAAGAATTGGAAAACGCTTGTATCGCATAAGTGGAATGATTCCGCAAAATAAATCCGAAAGATTCTAGAAATCGAGAAAGCGAGCGTACTTGTTGGCGCTAATTAACCCCTCGCTCGAGTTAGGCCACATCGTCGTCGACCTACGGAAACTGATTCGTACACTTTGTTTCCGTGTTATCGACAGAGAATAACGCTTCTTGGAAATTCGTTGCAATAACGTTTACGGGTGAAAATACGCCTCTCTCCCTTTTTGTCGTTTTATTGGCTACAGATCGACCGTCGATACCTTCGACGAAAATACATGTCGCTCTACGATAAACTCTAATTATTCCAATACATCAGCTGCAACTATTGACTAAATGTGTCGATTCAATTATTAAAGGATGCTACTTGTCTACGATGTTGCAAAATCATTCAAGGAGGTGAAATCAACCGTTCGTTCGTTCGCGCGTCCATGGAGGTTGCTCCATGCACACGCGTTTCCTTCTATGATCTCACATAAAAAAGTTCGTCTAATCAACGGGAATCGTTGATCGTACAAAAACCATGAACAAAAAATCTCACTACTCTTGCATCAACCATTAAACAAGTCAGCCCAAAGAAACGCTTCGCTCTTGTCGGTTCGGGAAGTGAAACCTACTTTCTTTGCATACTTCAACAAACTACTCGTTTATGTTAAACACAAAGGGAGACGTTGAATACAAACGGAGAGGGTAGTTCACAGAAGTTCGTTATATTTCGAAAGTCGACGAATACAGGATCGCGCGAATCTTCGGTTCTTCTTTTAAACGCTAGACCGAGGGATGAGTAATTTTCACTAAACGCGTGCAAAAATAATCCCCCTTTATTGTCACTCACCTGTAGTCTCAATCCGTTCGTTTTGCGTAAACGCAAATATTCTATCGCTCACCCCTATGATCGAAAGTCAATTACACGCACTCATGCTCTGTTAATTACAAAGTCGCGGAGCTCTCGGGAAATAAAGGAACCAAGGGAGCTACGAGGGTACGCTACCAGCCGTCGGGGAAATTCGAAAACGTTGACAAACGGCCAATAGCGTAAAGGGATCAATTAGCTACTGGAAATACTAATATTTATAAATATGTACATACACACGCGCCGCAATCGATACGGCGCTTCATTTACACTGTAAATACGGTGGAAATGTTTAGTTCGGTGGATCAGGTCCGCATCTCGAAGATTTCTTCCTCGAAAAAAAATTCTTGCCGATAAATATTCGAGGTATTTCACCCCTCGTAGATCGAAACTCAGGGCAGTTTTTCTACCTCGGGACAAGTGTTTCATATTTTAAGAACCCGATGGATAGGGGTGAAAAATAAGAGATATCACTAAGCCATATTAGCATGGAATAAGAGTGTTTTTAATGTTTTCAACAACAACAGGTACAGTAACCAGTCTACCTGCAGTAAGTACGTTGGTAATTCTTTCCGTTTCTTTCACGCGCATCCTTTCGTTCTCGCAGCCACTCACATGTACACCAGACACGCACCCAACCCACGCACGCGTTCTCTCGCAGTTCCTTTCTTTTGTCTTCGTACCCGACTACCAAATCCTTATTACTGTCTTTTTGCCTCTTACCCATTAAACGGAGTAAGTAATTAATTATATAAGTTCGCTACACATCGTGTTAACTATTCGGCTGTCTAGCTAGCTGACTATACTAGTTACGTTACGGATTTCGGGTTAACCTACTGGCTACGATTTCGTGATCTTTCCAATAAACTGGATCGCGTGTTCTATATGCATTGATCTCGGATTATTGTTCCGAGAAGCGAGTCTCGTGACGAACCGACACAGGAGAAAAGAAAGATGGAATAAAACGAAATTTGAATCGAAGGTAATTCGATGCTCTTATTGGAAAGTCAGTGGATCGTCGCCCGCCGGGAATGCTTGCGGGGTGAGAAATTGCGCTACGTCGAAGCTTCGTCCACAGAACACACGGAAAAATATCTTAAGAATCGTATACACGTCAACTCTCTAAGGAATAACTTATTTGGGGCGACTTTTTAGTGGAATTCAAAGGATTATTTAAAAACTTTTCCTTTCGATGCTACGGGGATTTCATCGACGCTACGAATTTAATTCACACTCAAATTTTCTATACTTCAAGCTTAGGCAAAAATTTAGGATTAGAATTTTTAAGGTTCAATTATAATAAAGATTCGATAATATATCGTTGAATATAAAATACATATTCGTGCTATTTTAATAGAACGAACTTGTTTATATTATACTTATAAACAAGTAGTTTTGATTGACCGCATCTAATTGTAGAGCAAGTTAAATACTTTTGTATGTTACAAAAATTAAAATTCAACAATCTATGGCACTGAGATGGTAGCTGACGTGATTCTGAATAAAATTACCCTTTACAAGAATAAAGTTTGAAGCTTCGTTTTTGAATTATTAAGAAAAAACGCGGGGCAATCAGACCGCGAGGGCTGCGCATGCGCAGACGTTCAAAGATGGCGCACTTACGTCTGCGCGCGCATCGCGTTCTGACTGCTCCGCGTTTTTCCTTAATAATTCAGAAACGAAGCTTCAAATCCAATTTTTGCAAAGGAAAATTTTGTTCAGAATCAAGGCAGCTACCTCCTAGTGGACTTACATTAATTTTGAGACATTCTGTATGCGTTAACGAATGAGTAACACCAAATTGATGCAACATTTCAACTTTATCTGTTTCAATACACTCGTGACGCACACTACGGTTGTAATATAAGACTCGTATTTCCACAGCAACTTTCTGCCTTAATTCTAATTATAATCAAGGATGTAACGAATGTTATTTTCGACCAAATTCGTAGCATCGATCACCGCGTCAATGCCTCTATTTTCCGCTCAGCCGAAACAATGATTTCGAATAATCGAGCGAGGATAACAAAGTGGAAACGATGACGACAAAATGGCACGTTGGACAAAACATATCGAGACTACTAAAAGGATAACGATGATAATGATACTTCTAATGATATTGAATACCTGCAATTATCACGCGAGATATATTGCTACTGATTACGCTCTAAATAAGAGAAAAGCCTCGGATCGGCGGCTGCCGTCGACCAGGAAAAATGTCCTCGAAGAATATCTCTACCCGTTCTCGTCAGCCTTTGAATCTCGCCGATCGAGGAGCCGCGAAAACGAGGCTCGTTCTCGATTTTCTGCTCAGTCACGCGAGCACGTATCGATCTGTCCCTTCTGGGCTACGATCGAGCCGGCTACGCGTTTATCCCGGTTTGTACTTTTTCAACATCCTCGAGAAAGTTTCCCCTAATTGTCACCGCTCGAATGTCGACGCCTTTCCGCGTCGACTCGAGTCC